CGATGACAATCTCGATAACGCCGGCGATCTCTCTCCTATCGTGGTGGCGAGAGAAATAGCTTGCTCAATTTCGGGTGATAGTCTGCGCGTTTTGGACGACCACCCGCATACTTTGGTGCGCCCTATTACGCCACTGTGACGTCGAAATGACGTAATTTTTTGGTGATATAGTCAGGTGGGGGTTAGGATTGACATATGAAAAAATTGTTGAGCCAGGCCAACTAGAAGTGCATGTGGTACTAAACTATACCAGACCCGTGAGTCGGACCATCTTGCAATTTCAATTCACGCTGTCACAAGACAGGAAGTTCTAAAGATAGAGCAGTTCTGGTACCGTAACACAGCGCGGTGACACTGAACTAACTCGTAGCTGTCTCGTAAAAGCGAGGCTTGTTTTTTTTTAAGTTTTGTTCCAATAATGGAGAGGGAATGAAACGGATTAATTAGTATTTCAATTTATGTTGCAATTGAATGGAGAAGAATAGATCATTGCCACGGGACATGTGAAATGGGAAGCAGACAACTCGACTACACACGGACAACTCGACTACAGATAGGCCTGGTGAGTTGTCCGTGTAGTCGAATTGTCCACCAGCCCTAAACGGCTATGACAGTCACTGTACCGAAATTTGTACCCCGATTCGGGTGGTGTTATGTTGACGCATGTTATTTAATAACGTTTTTATGTGAAATGTTTGACTGTTGTTCGGTACCTGATCCGATAATACGGTACATAATTGACTCATATCACCAGATATTTCAACTGATGTTTCAATATAATCAAGAAGAATGGATCATTGTCACAGGATCTAAAATATCTATGACAGTCCCTGTACCGTCACGGTACCCCGATACAGGTACTGGTAAGTCACCGCATATGATTTTTGGGGAATTGTTCTACGTGTCCATATATTTGAGCATTGCTCTCTTGTTTTTAATTAAAACTGCCTCGATTTTGACTAAAACTAAACGTCGGTTTGAATGAAGCCAAATATTTTTTTTTTTTGATATTTCTGGTTTTATAAAAAAAAGTCGATTGAATACCTACAATATATTGTTTCACCTATTCAATTGTAAGTAGAAATCCTATACGGCCCGCTAAGAATATAATATGTTCATTCTGATTCCCGACATTAAAAGGTTGCTGGTCCCTGGTTTAAAAGAGAGATAGGAAGTTTCATTTCATAGTGTCATTTTGACTTACATTTATTCATTTCACTGGTGTTTATTAAATCTGTTATTACTCGGGACTCGACTTGGGATTAAGAGTCTAAAATTTACTGTAACTCAAACCATGACTCGCGACCCGGCATTTAGTGATTTCTACCCAACGCTAAATGACGAGATATAAATAGAAAAACATTGAATCATACTTAACTTTCAACGTTCAATTTTACCTGCAATATAACAATTTCCAACAAAATTTTTGATGGTTGAATAACGAACCAATGTACCAATTTTTCGGCATATCGAAATTGCAAGTTGTTTTCTGTTGACAATTCACACAAATAAATATGTATAATATATATACTATTAATCGGGTTGTAGGCATGAGGTCCGGACTGGAGAACTCGGGACGCCAACATGTATGATCAAACGTGCTTACTATTCCACTCAACGACAATTTGATCGATCGCTTGACGTCATCATGCTTTGAAAGGTAAAATAAACGCTAAAATAGATGTTAAAATACTCATTGATTTACTAAAAAAAATCTAGTGCGATTACATTCCTTATGTTTGATTGTGAGAAGTATGGATATGGTCTCTCCTCGACTGACGTGAAACGACTTTTAGCGTGCTAGAGTGTTTGAAAAATTTAAATAGTATCTATTTAAAAATAGAATAAATATCTGCTTTCACATTATTATACAAACAAAAAGATTTTAAAAGAAGCGTCCGAAAATTGAAAGTCATCGTGAAACAGTTTTAATTGTTTACCAACATTTAACACAAACAAACTTATCACGATGCTATGTGCAAAACTACAGTTAATTTAATCAATTTTGCCAAACGACTGTCACATCAATGGCATATATGATCGGGATGCGCGCAAGGCCATTCATTTTTCTGGTTTGCAAAACAAAGAGTAGTTGAGTTTTTATGAATAGAAAAAAGGATCTAGGATTTTTAATGAACTATTTCCACGCCTTCACTTTGAACAAGTCTCTTTAGGTGCTGCTTTATTTACTTCATTCTTTGCTTCAAATATAAAATGTATAGTATATATTGAACAATGTGAAGAGTTTTCATCGACTATTTATGCTGTTTCAAATTCTTTCATCAATTACTGCAAAAATTATTACAATATAGAAATAATGCAAAGAAGCATTATTTTAGGGCAAAAAACTTACTTTAAGTTTTCTAATGCCAACATAGAAAGGTCCAAACTTCGATATATATTAGAATTATGGAAGTTCATAATATATTTTAAGATTTAAAATTCAATAGGAATTCACTAACTTGAACCTGCTAATATAAACACTCGGTTTGTTGTGGAAAGCGCTATCCAGCAAAATGACAGCGATATCTTGCTTTGCGCATAGCGCCATAAGGTGGTTCGAAATACAAATGAATGTTTTGAATTACTCATTACGAATGCAGACTGTTTTACTTCAAAATTGGGGGCTAATTGGAACGCGAAGTATTTGGAGAGGAAAAGCAACATAACCATATTCTGCACATATTTATTCATGAATTTCCACAATATCTCAAGAGGATCAGACAGGATGTCTTTGATGTTTTCTGGTCGGATAACATTGAAATGGCTTTACAAACGGCAGACTTAACAACTCGAAATTATGATTGTTAAAAATTTTGGCGGTACATCAAAAATGCATATTTTCATTACACATATGGGATTTCTTAATTTTTTTTATCTTCCGATTGTATTTTGTTGTTGCTAACGCTGTTGAAAGATTCAAAGCATATATATATATATATATTATATAATTATATGGATCAGAGATAAATAAAATGTGTAATAGTGTGATTCAAGTTTGGGTCGATCGCAACCAGCTACAACACAATATTTGCATTTATTATCAGCCTTGAACCCGACAGAAGGTGAATATTGCGAACGTGCAGAATAAGGTGTAGACAAAGGAGTCATCGTATCAGGATGCGGTAAGGTGTGGTTATAGCGCTAACGCGAACTCTAACAGGATACATTTGTCAAGAACTTCAAGTTTGATCACGAACAGAAGACAAACCAATATGTAGTCTGATATTTTTATATCACATGCATTAATTTAACATTCAATACCCTCTGTTTTATTAATTTATTGATTCAATTGCTCTTGGCACAACCAATATCAAATTTTCTATATAAATATAGTTAGACTCATTTCTTTCACAGTATACCTACATGATTTAAACTTTTCATCCAAAGGATTTCTTTTATATAAATCTCTCTTTGTATACTCATTTGCGCGCTCACCGAGGACAAACGCCAGGAAGCTATTAGTTCTTTACAACAAGCGAGACGTTATGTCATTGACCTCAATGAAACAAGTTCATGATTTTCGAATCTGAATGCGTTTTAGTGTTTATTTATCATCTGAATCGATCCTTGTAACAAACCAAAATCTTTTCAAACTAAATCATATCGAATAAATTGGGAAGATACAGCCAAATTTGCCAACCACTCGATGTTTGGGTTTCAGGTTGTATAACTCACCAAATCACTTAAATATTTAATTGTTTATTTTTACCTACTTTGACCGGGCAATAAAAAATGATGCTTCAAATAGTATATATTACTTTACTATATCGATCATACCAAAATTATTATAAAACATTAATCGATTTTTCATGGGATTGCCTGGGTTGTGACAGAATTCCTGATGTGGATATTTTAGTACTTTAGTCATTCTATATAATTACATATGATTTATTTTGTTCAACACCAGACAATATTTTTTTTTTGGAATGCAGGTGCAATTCAATATATTTAAATAGTCTTCACATATTGTTGGGAGCGTTTTCGAATAGATGTTCACAAGTTGAATTTAAAAACCAACATATTAAGGGTAATTTTCTTTAAACTTGCATCAAATCATTGAAACTTGAAACACGGCCATCTCGAACTGCTGGGAAAATGGAGTCCTATCTTTGCGATATTCATATTGACGATAGGATAGCGCGTAATCTCAATTAAATAAGCGTGAACTCTTATGCACGTATAGTTCGATGGTTATGTAATCCTAGCGACAATGGTTATCATTTCAACCAAATCCATAGACGTCGTTTTAGTTTTCTTTGCTTCGACTCACCAAACACGAGAAAGGTCACGTACGCAAAGCTACTTCGCGTGGCTGATTCAGGACTGCATACGTCATCGCGTCGAATCAACAACACAAAAACAGGAATCAATGATTTTCGGTACTGCACTCTCAATATTTTTCAATTAAAATGTAGATATCAGACTTGTCAGAGAGGAGTGCGTCTTTGATATCGCAGGAACGGATCATATCCATTTGAAATATAATTTGCAGCAGGACAACCCGCTAATTTATTATCGTGACTGCTTGATAAAAACAATTTAGGAATAAATAGCGAAAACGATTGGCCAATATAGTGTTCCACGATTAGTCCTTGAGCGAGAACAAAGTACAGTAGTCGGTTTTGTATGTAGGCTATCTGAATATGGTACTAATTCGAAACACAAAAATAAAAACCATTCTGTAGAGAAGAGAGGTACATAAGATGACAGAAGATTTGAATAGATTTCATCCAATATAGAAAGGTTCACTTACAACGAAAATTCGAATTTTGCTGTAAAGTTTATGGTTGGTAGATTTTTTACTTGGTTTACTGATTTTTGTACCTTATTAACGAACTGAAGATATGTTTCAATTCATATAACTGGTCAGATGATGTAACATGGACTTGGGGACGTCCATAGAAAAATAAATATCCTGGCAGAATGTTAGAGGTGCATAAAATATTGCATTTTTATAGTAGAATGTTAGGTATAAGATTAGACTCAATTTAATGATTTTATCATGTATTTATCATAGAATCCTGCAAATTAAATTGTGATAATGAACATAAATCAAACACATCGTTCTATTCCGGTTATGTCTGTTCCAACGACAAACTTATCGTTTTATGAAGGATATTCGACCACAAGAGAAAACTTACTCAAGCATTTTAATGCAGGCTTGACACTTGCAAGTTTATCCAGACACCCTTCATTTTCTCTATCACAAAACAAAGTGTCGGGACCTTTCGGGGAACCCCATTTATCAAACCTCCAACCTCAGAGCGGAACACCAGTTTCTGTAAGCTCTTCGACATTGCTATCTAGTCGTCTCAATGGAATTTCACCATTTGCCTCATTAGCATGGTCAAATGGAGTAAGCAACAGCAGGAAACGACCGTATCTATCGACTGGAGTTTCAGCATTTCCAAGCGACGGCAGTTCGCCTAAAAAGCGGCCAACTATAAGAGCAGGGATATGTGCTACCGGTACAAAAAGATCACGAAGAGGTATTTTCAAGAAAGCATGGTGCCCAATCATTCTAGGAAAGCAAATATCTACAGCCAAAAATTCGAACGTTCTTTCTCGGGAGGGATGTCGAAATTTTAGAAGACTAACAGTTTCTAAAACAGAATTTCCGGACCAAAGCATATTACGTCTACAGTGTCTAATTAGGAAGTCACTGAAAAAGCACGGAATCTGTGTACTGAACCGTTTCAACGGTTTAAACTTTGGTTCAAGTATCGAAAATGAAGTAAAAGAACTTCATAATAGTCGATTTTGTCATCGAGGCCAGTCTATGGGTGGGCAGGACACCGGTAAGCAAGTTCGACAGGACTTAGTAACATGGATTGACGGATCAGAACCTGCTTATCCACAACTGAGCTCACTTTGCGCAAAATTAGATCAAATCGTAGGAACTGGAGAAGGGATTACTCAAGAATACGATATTTGCGGAGGCACTAAGGTGGGTAGTTATTTATGATTATGTGATCATATCGGGGGATGAGTAAATTAACAAAAAGTGAATCTCTAAGTGTAAATATGAGTGAATGAAATGATATCCAATAAGTTTTCGGCCAAGTCGTCGAATTGCGAGAATTTCTCTGCTTTCATGCCATGAATTCTGAATGTACTCAATATGGGTATAAATATCGGTTCCATTACATTTGAACCCACGTACATTTGAACCCATGACAATTGCACCTGTATGCTATTGCACCTATGGATTTTTTTTGGGTTCACGGATAGTTAAACCCATACTAACCCTAACCCATGGGTTTTAGCACCCGCATATAGATTGAACCCGTGGATATACGCATGGGTTCAAATGTACGGTCACCTAAATATCGTATATTGCACAATATGTGGCTTACTATTTTGGCGATATTTATATTACTGTTGTACAAAACACGATGTCGGCACAATTTTATCCCACAATGGATTAATCAGTGCAGGGTTGAACACCAATCTTTTGTTGCAGGCGATGATAGCTCGTTATGCGGGAAATGGAGCGGGATACCAATTGCATGTTGACAATCCCTCGAAAGATGGTAGATGTTTAACATGTATATATTACCTGAACAAAAATTGGAACACCGAGGTAAGAATCTATATTTCGATGAATTTACGGAACTGACTTTAACTACAGTACTGAAAAAATAATATAATATAATCTTAAACGAATGTGATGTGATCCATTTTATCACGCGTCTTTTAGTCTGGGAGTAATGTGTACTCCACCGAACCATTCCCCAAATTGGAGACTCGTTTTCTATAACAAGTCTACAATGGAGCCCGTTTCGTAGAATCTTGGATAAACGCACGTAGCTTAACATGCGGTCAGACACTGCTACGTGACATATGGCGGTTGTGTTCAATGAATATGCTGCTTTTTGAAATTTTCCCTCACAATTTGTATTTCTCTCGCATTAAATTATTATATTGTTCAACACAGACGATGGGAGGAAGCTTGAGATTGTATTCAAGGACAAGCCGTAAAATTGCCAATATTGAACCGTTTTTCGACCGAATTGTGTTTTTTTATTCCGACGAACGGAACCCTCATGAAGTATTGCCAGCATTTGAAGATAGGTTGGTATTATTGTGTTTATTACTTTAGATTGAGAAAATTTGACGCGCTGGCATGAAAGACGGGAAATATAATAATATAGAAATCACTTAAAGATATAAACATTTTACATACCGTAAATAAAATTTGACTTAATTTTCCTGTAAACCTGCCCAATAATATTTGGAAATATGATTCCAAATGAATATATTATATATATATACTTAGCCCAGCATGATATTTAAATCGACTATCCTTCGGGTTGGGTTCTGTCGATGACTCATATTAGACAAAAAACATTTTTAACCCGTCACTGAGTCAGCGTTACCAAGTAAACAATTATTTTAGGAAAAGTGTTTTGGAACCACGGCGTGAGCTGTTTCTAGATATCCATATTTTAAAGTTTCTATCAAAACCATGTCAAGAGGATTTGTAATCCTATTGCGCATAGCGATGTATTATTACTGGCAATATTTCGTTTACGATTATGATAGTGTTTAAATATTCATGAGTTTGGCGATGACAAAAAAGTAAGCATCGGTGGTTCTTTCTTACTCATCGGACAAAAAAAAACAAATTGAGTAATTTCAGAAATTGAGATAAAATTTTGTTTGAGGCAAACTATTTGTCACTCATAACAGAATACCACCAATAGCGTATTCACATTTTTTTCTTCTTCTTATTCATAATCATGTATAAACAACTTAATTTTCCGAAAGCGGCAAAGTGATATTCAAACTGTATTTTTTTCAGATATGCGGTTACATTATGGTATTTCGATCGAAAAGAGCGGGCAAAAGCAATTAAGCGGATGGTTGAGCAAGCCGGAATCTAAACCTGAAAATGACAAAATGTGTTAAATGTTTTATATGTATTTTGCGATAACTATTTTTCGCATGATTGCCATAGAAAAGCATTTTCGACTATTGACGATTCAATGATATATATTATATATATTGTCTCTTTCTTGTGACCAGTGTTATTTTTTTATTAGTCAAAACTTTTTTGTTATATTTATTGTATGTTCATTAAATTGTATATATATTAGTCATTTATGTCATATTTGTCGGTTTTCTTACTGCTGAAGCTTAGTAATGGGATTTCAATTTATGCCCGGGGATTGGGAAAATTGAAAGGCAAACGATATTTGAGTGTGTGATGCAATATATGTACCTATATTTTCCATAATCACTGCCAGTATAATTTTACTTATTCTGTGATAGTAGATATTATTCCATTCGTTATTTCCAATTTAATTGCAATATATAGTTGCTTAACCTACAATTCTTTCTAATAGTTTTTACTCTGGTCGTTTTTGTGTTGGGGACGTCAGCCATGTGCCAAGGGGCATGGAGCTCTATAAAAACAGAGAACTGGGCACAGGATAAAGGAAGAACCGTACATTCTAATACTTGTTTGTACTCGAATGCTGTTTATTGCGATGTTGAATGCTTTTGTCGGCTGGTCACTGTGCTCTTCCGGTATTCTGAAGTTTATATAACTAGATGTCTGACCATTTTTAATTTTCTATTATCCCCTCCATTGCCATATTTAATAACCCCAATTGATTGATTTAAGATTGAAGAATGAAGTTCCAATAACAAAACTAGATAAAGAAGTGTCTGCGTTATATTATATTGTGTATCACACATTCGGGGTCATCAGTATTATTCATTTCGATTAGCATTGGAGTAATAAATTCCGATATACCGCTAGTTGGCGCTGTAGCATCGCGGAAATGTTTGGTTTCGGTATTTAAATAGGGAGAAAGAATTTCGGTATTTATTGTGATCGTCTAAGGTTTGCGCTGACTTGATTAGCGAACATTCAAATGCCAGGTAACTGCAATGCGCATACATCTGTCAATTCTATATAACCTCAAAGTTAGGGGCACTAAAAATATATATACGAGACCGCACCGTGAAATATATTTTCAAAATAAGCGTCAAAAATTTTGCAACAGTAAAGTATAAGAAAAATATTTCTGGGGCACAGGGTCGGAAAAACATCCATTCGATAGAACCGGTAAAATTGCACCCGGCTGATCTGGGGAATATATATTTCATCTACGCCACAAGGAAAGTTATACCACATACAAAAACTTGAACCGTTTTGCAGATCGCAAGTTTGTCAAGTCGTTAACATGTAATTTTGTTATTTTCCAAGAATTGTTTATTGATACGTAAATGAAGCTTAATTTAGCATACAGCCATAATCAAATAAATTCACAGATCTTTACCGTGTTGCGGTTGAGAACCATTCACTTGGAAATCGTCGACACTAAATTGTCGCTTTTATATATATCATATATAGGCTGAAACATATGCTTTTTTATCAATACAATAAAGACCTAGTTACAAATAAATTAGATATTAAAATATGCAGGAGATGAAGTCTTCACGCAAGCTATGCTAACAGTGCATAGAACGTAATAAAACTTAATATTTGTCCTATTAAAATCGATGATTTCGATCGAGCGCCATTTCCACGACTTTTCTCGCATTTGCTGCAACAAAATAAAACTTCAGTTTTTTGTTTCGTTAATAGTTGGTTACACACCGATATCGTTTCATTACAATGCTTCAGATATGTTTCGCCTTCTCCAGCGTGAACGGTAACTGAAATGAAATATGAGTATTAATTCGGTGATTAGGATTATCTTTATTTAAAGCATAGACATGGCATTTTTCAAGAACTATTTGGCCAAGATCCTCTCAGTATGCTGTGAATTAGGACATAAAAGGAAAATTCTAGATTATAAGCAGCCATGCATGACAGTTTGTGAAAATGAAAACCTGCTGCGTTTGGCCACATTGAAGAGATTCGCTCATACCCAATCTGAAAAAGCATGTCAATACACCATTCGATCCCTTAAAAACTTGAATCTGGGATAGCGATTTTATTAGCTTTTCAGAATAGGTACCGCTTTACTACGATGTTATCTCGAAAATATTCTTTTGAAAATCATTTCGAATTCGTGCTTGTTCCGCCAAGCGGTTCCCGACGAATCGTGACAAAATAGTAGGGCGTTGCAGAAAACTGTACCGACAGTCTACTTGGACTAGTTTTGCAGTATCTTCAAATTTCAAGCATTAGTTTAGCTTTACAGCTGAATCTTTGTAGAGCTGAATAAAGGAAATGTAAATTCAAAACTTCAATTTACTTACTTGTGCTAATAGTGTTGCACGTTTGGGGTTCCGGGTTTTCACAAATTTTTCGATGTCGTTGAATCTCGTATTTAGCGCAATGACCTAAGTCGTCTAGTTTGCAGTAGTAGCATGTTTCGTAGCAGTTGACTTCGCTGACTGTAAGAATAGCTGCAAGTGAAAATAATCATGCATACATCCTGAATTAATCAATAAATTTAATCAGCGATTTAAAAATGATGTCTGACATATGTTGCCTTCACAAGTATGAGCTGATACCTAACCGCGACTTGTATATCGCTACTTGTTTGAAAATTTTTACTTGATGAACTTAAATGAACGCCGTTTACAGTAATTTGTAGTTTATTTACGCCCAGATAGATGTTAATAATTAGACTAGGGGGATAGTTGCGTGGCTGAGTCAAAATTCCAACAGATGACACTTTCTAACTTTTATATGTTGCATTTTACTATAACTAGAGAATCTAACTATGTACGATAAAATATTTGCGTTCGCGTTCTTGTTAGTCATCCGATAAGCCTAAACAAATTGGTTGAGTTATGACAAAATAACATTATGAGGGATTTTCTAGTCTACTGGTCCTTCATATTTACGGAGTCGCTTATAGGAAGCTTTTATAATAGGGAAGGTTAAGTTATAAATTGGCTGAAGAAAATGTACTTACCTATCAATGCTCCTAATTTTATCCACGAAAGCTGCTTTCTGTAAATACAGTTCATCAACATCGCCACAGAACGCTACAATACAATTAACTCGTTCGTCGTCGTAACGCAATAGCTTTGACTAAAAATTGAGCCCCGGGCGATTCTGCAAGAATCGTAAATTTAGAATTGATTCTCCGTAGTCCATTATGCTCTGAAATAAAAATTCGTCAAAACTATATTACACTACCGTACGGTATCACCAAATAAAAGCTTTTTTTAAACTAGCGTTCGTTAGAAAGAATAAACTGATCATATGATTGAGCAAATTGTGGTTTATGGCTTGGTGAGCATAGCTGATACACATTGCTTTATCATAATTGAAATATCTATCAAGGTGGTTCCGCCATTGCGATTAATTTTTCTCCATTTACCTCCGCTGTTCGCTGCCAGTCATGCGTGATCTAACATGAAATCATTAACCATCACGGGCTTCTGCATTTTTGATTTTTAATATCGCACTGAGTCATGCTCAAGATGCGTTAGTCCATAATACGCACGGCGTGTGCAAGCGTAGCAGTTTAAATATTTCTGTAGATGAGAGATTAGATTTAGCAGAATGAATTTTTTTATTGAATGCATACTTCTGACTTTTAATTTGACTTCTATATTTATGATGAGTCTATTAAGGTAAGTTTCATTTTTATTATTTATATATTTTAACCTGAAATAAAAATTGAGCATCCTTTTTAAAAATATGTTTTACTAAACTCAATCAAATTCTGAAAAGGGAATGTTGGGTTAACTTCATGTTGATACAACATATTATCTTGCAGGTGGATTATACCTACAAAGCACAAGTCAGTTAAAGATGAGGTTTGTCTAGTAACTGGTGCTGGTAGTGGCATTGGGAGATTATTAGCATTCGAATTTGCCAAACGCGGAGCCGTTCTTATATTATGGGATATTGACAACATAGGTATGTTTTTACCTGTATGATAACGTTGTTACACAATCGATCAATTGTATCACTGATTTTCACTACAATCTAGATTTTAGACAGTATGCGAGCTATCTTGAAATAGCGGCTACAAATTTAGATGCTTGTATCTTTTTTTGCCTGTATTTCCTGCAGAAAAGTGGGAAAACGTCGCACTGACTCAATGCACTGTCCTTCTTGAAGATCCCTAAAGTGGTAATTGCGAGTCATATATTGTATACTTGCATATTACTTTTTATTGTTAGTGTTAGTGTTCGCATTGTAAATAGTGCTCACACTGACTGTACCATGTATCAATACTTTATTTAGGAAATCGGGAAACTGCGGATATGATTGAAAAAATTGGTGGGAAAGTTTTTTTCGAAAACTGTGATGTTTCTGACCGAGAAGAAATCTACAAAATGGCACAGAAAGCGAGAATGGAAGCTGGGGATGTTACGATTCTGGTGAATAACGCTGGTGAGTGTGTGGTCAGATCGATCAACATTTACTGGGTACAATGAAATGTAACGATACCTATTATATAATAGAACCTCACTAGAGATCCCCTCTTTAAGATTCGTTCTAAAAGAGGCGAATTTAAGGCACAAACGGTCATATGTATATGATGACTTGAACAGTTCCATACTTTTTATAGTTACGTATTGAAAATATTATAGTTACATATTGAAAATATATTAATAATGCGCGTGCTGATTCGTTATGATCGTCTTACTCCACTGGAGCAGCGTTAATTCCCAGTCAATATTGATTAGTAATTGATAAATTTTGGTTGAGATCATACACTTTGTGCTGATTAGACATTTTTATTTTCCAATGCAATATTGACTTAATATAACGCTATCGAAATACACTGAAAAATTGAGATATATTGAAGCTGTGTAACCTATACGCTAGCGGGATTTTTTTTAATCTTTGAGTGAGTTTAAACTCGTGGCAAAATGTGAGAATGCATTTTATAAATAGATATTTCTGTTTAAATTTCAGGGATAGTTTACGGGAAAGATTTTATGGAAATAACGGACGAAGAAATAGAAAAGACGATAAAAGTCAACTCCTTGGCTCATTTTTGGACTGTACGCGCTTTTCTCCCACGTATGCTCGAAAATAACCACGGGCACATTGTTACCGTTGCAAGCGTTTTAGGTAAGTAAATTAACACAATGTGCGTAATCTGTGAGTGTTTTGAGTCATAGGAAACTAGCAACATTATACGAGAAAATGTATGTTCACTACAAGCTTATCGAACACATTTGGCCTTCTTATTGTTAACGAGTGCAGTCTCTTGTGAATAATGACATAAACATTTTAATAATATAACGGGTGTATCGATTAAATGAGTAGTTTATACATGGCCACGATAATAACTTTTTTATCGGAGCAAAATAGGGGGTTATTATTGGGTATTGGATACAACACTAATGAATTTTGCGGCAATTTTCATAACCACGTCAGATCGTGATTTTTACATTGAATTCTGTAAACATGTTTAGAAAAATATGGAATTATCAACATTGTAGAAATCAATTGAACCCAATCAAACATTATTTTATCAGAACATTAAAACAAAACGTGCATTATAGTTTCAAGTACAAGAATCCCGATGGGAAAAGGGGTAGGTAAACAATCATCGGTTCTAGTTGTCCGAATTAACTATTCGTTTCAATTTTGATTTTCAGGGCTGATTCCTCTTCCAGGAATGACAGAATATATTGCAAGCAAATTTGCATCTGTTGGTTTTAATCACGGATTGGAACTAGAATTGAGAAAATATCAAAAAGATGGCGTAAAAACTACTCTCGCTTGTCCTCACCATACCAATACGGGAATGTTTAGGTATATCTTTTGTGTAATTTCTTTTTGATACCCTTTATTGTATTTCCGATGCGCGAAGAAGAAAACTATTTACAATGATATAAACATGGCATTTATTAACTCATAGGATAATATTAATTGATGCTTCTTATATTAATAGCAATAATGAATCATAGCCATCAATCTATTCTAAATTGATTACCTCCACAAAATATATATCAAAGAATCGATTTGAATTATTCGTCTTTATTTTTTTTATTATGTATAATGTGGTTCCGTCGAGTTTACACCCGGTTGTTTTGCTGCTCGATTTGAGAAAACTGCAATAATTAAATATTAAAATCTACATTCTTGATTTTATTACTATAAATCAGAGGTTTGCAACTGGTAAAATGACCTCTTGGGTATATAAATGACCTGGAGCGGGACTAAATTCTGCAAGCATTAAAGTACATGGTGACTAAATCTGACAGTTATTAGTTCACAACTATAATTTTGCCACATTGTCGTATCATGTAGGCCTACTCATTTCCCCAAGTTTATTTCCCGTTTTAACACCGACATGAACGTTATTTAATATTTGTTCAGCGGACTAACGTACAGATTTCCTAGTCTTCTGAAACCCTTGGAGCCTTTTGAGTGCGTGGAGTCCATAATGCACGCTATATTAACGAATCGGAGCATGGTGGTAATACCACGATCAATGTACTTCTCATATAATATGTCAACTTGGATGCCGCATGCAGCTACCTTGGCCATATCAAAATTTACAGGAATTCTTAAAAGTATGGAATCCTTCATTCCAACACGTGACTATCAAAAAAAAGCAGCAAAAATTGAGTAATTGATATAGAAACGTTTGACATTTTGTTTTGTAATTTTTAACTTGATTACTTCGAAATAAATCAAAATAGAGTTTGCTTTATTAGACAAGTTGAAAGAGTTGTTGTTCTACGTTCAGTTTGTTGGATAGTTATATAGTTCAATATGTCGGTTTAGAAATAGTGATATAATATGCATTTGCATCTTTACATGTCTTGTGTCAATTATATAATAAATATATATTGTATATACAAATATTATTACTTTCACAGATTACATTTCTCTATTTCATGTAAAATCCAGTTGTATTAAAGAAGTATATTTGCACAACGTACAGTTTGTGTTTTAACTTGTGTGGCTAGGCTTGGCTAGCCTATAGGCATGGCTTTAACCATATTGATGAAAAATCCTGTTGTGGTATAAATTTTGATAACACAAATCGAGTAAAAGAACTCAAGTGTTATACATCAATATACGGTCCTCATGTAGTGTGTGAGCCAAGACTGCGGACACCGGAACGTAGTATGTGTACCATATTAGGGTTAGGCCATAATTTCCGTTACAGATACTACGGAAGCCACTTGGTTAATCCCCGAACTCGTAATAGAAATGAATGAGGAAAATTAGGATAAAATTATGTCTTAACCCTAACCTGGTACACATCTTTGTGATGGTACACATACTACGTTCCGGTGTCCGTCATCTTGATGCACATACTACGGGAGCGCCCAATATACAAGTCGTTTTGAATGCCGTATTGTTAAACTAACTTTTATTTTAAAACGAACTATATTCCTTATTCCCGTATTGACAATAATTATCTCTGAAGCAATACGGACTATTTTAAGCTATTGCTGCCACAAGCTAGTCAATTTTCAAGTCTCTTAGGCTGAGTTATCGAGTCATTTCGTTTATAAGACTCGAGTCAAATTTGATAGTCGGCCCAACATTGACTTATCTGTCCCTCACAACCCCGATTATACGATGCCAAGATTCAGTATTGTCATTTAGATCTTTTTTATTAAAATTACAGTGGATATACGATATTTATATAATTAAAAATACTATTCATGGAGAGGTATTGCTAAAATAAAGGACAAATTCGTATAATCAAGGCAAATCTGTAATCTTACTGTGGTGCATTGACACGCCTAATCATTTGCTTGGCCAATCATCAATGTAGGTCTACAAGAGTCGTACATTCCTCAAAAAATGGTAGTTCTAAGTTGAGATAGAAGTTATGCTGTAGTTTATAATTAAGTAACAGACAGCCTTAACAAACTTTTACATATTTTTTTCTTCTGAAATCTATGATTCTGTTGATATACTTTTTTGATATCCTCTTGCCGGTACAAAACCAGTCATGCTGTCAAACGATCCCAAGAAGTCATGTAGTAGCAGGCCTACTTTATGTGGCATCCATGTTTGTATGTTATAAGAGATGTACATGGAACGGGGTATGCATACCATTACACGATCTGTTAATACTGCATGCATAATGCTTTCTACGCACTGCTCAGGAGTCAATGACGGCAATAAGTTTGAAAACCTTGTTTTCACTCCGCTAAAAAAATAAAAATTACGATTAAATCCAGTTGATTGGACAATTTGTACTTACTAACGACTTATACTGGTTGTGCCGAATGACCATGTTCTGTGGTGTTGATAACGATAATCAAAGTTAGGTCTTACGTAAACATTCCAGTCATTATATGATAGGGACAGACTACAGTTGTCCTAATTCCGTCTTTTTTATACTTCCGTAAGTCAAGCTCTAGTCCGTTGTTGAAACCTACTGCAGCGAATTTGCTTGCTACGTATCCAGGCATACCAGGAGCTGCGAATAATCCTAAGAAATGCACATTCGAAAACATATTTAAATATAAGACATGTACTTGTTGGTAAATGCATTAAAATAGTTATTCTAGTTGTGAGGGCATTCTTGGGAATAAAATAAAAAAATGACTATTATCACACGTATGTGATAAAAGCAGGAATCACAGTTTTCTCATGTGGTATGACGGATTTTTTAACATATTAATGTCACATTGACAGTAAGGCGACTGGAAATTAATATAACGTGAATAGATAATACACATTTTAATATTAAAAGATATTAGTGAAAAAACAAAATCGATACTGACTCATTCAAATTAACGTTGCTTCATTGACCAAAAAGCTTTTGTTGGCAATTACGGAAGCACGAAATAAAATTGTAGAAATCAAAATAGATTCGATTGTAGCTTTTCATTCAATTTTTGTTCTGTTATTGCTCGATTGTTTGAGGTTTTGAAAATACGAAATTCAACAATTTATATTACCCATGACACTTGCTATGGTGACTATATGGCCGTAATTCTTTTCCATCATACTCGGTAAAAAGGCACGAACTGTCCAAAAATGCGCTAGTGAGTTGACTTGCATTGTCTTTTCGAGTTGCTCGTCAGTGATTTCCATAAAATCTTTGCCGTAAACGATTCCTGAATATCATTTTCATCAATAATAATGTTCAAATAAATATACAAACAAAAATTGTATCAATATCATCTAAAATGAATGTTACCAGCATTATTAACCAGAATAGTGACATCACCAGCAACCCCTTTAGCTTTTTGGGCCATTTTGTAAACTTCTTCTCGGTTGGAAACATCGCATTTTTCCGCAAAAGCTTTTCCACCAGATTGTCTTATCATTTCTGCAGTTTCTTCGTTACCTGGTACAAATAAATGAATTGCAGGGCATTAGAAAGTTTAATATATTGCTAAAAATTTACGACGGTTTATTCAGGGTTTTGAACTGATTTGAAGCATTTGTAAACTTTATGAGAAATATTCCAAAACGATTTAATTTATTTGTAGGTTTGAGAGGGGATATGAGGAAAGTCATGTAGAGTTAGACTGTACCAGCGGGTTGGCTTAATCACCACAAGAAAAAAAAATCATGCTACCTTTGACATTTACATCCCACAATACTAAAACGGCTCCCCTCTTGGCGAATTCCAACGCCATCAACCGACCGATACCACTCCCTCCACCAGTTATCAAACAAACCTCATTTTCCACTGATTTGTACGTCGTTGGCAAAAACCACCTGTGAAGCAACATGAAATGTATTGGGAGTACTTTGTCCAAGTGCGAAATAGTATTGAGTAAAATAATATATATAGTAATAATCGTTGTAACTTTGGCATTTCTAATTGAACTTCACACTGCCTCAGATATAATTTATCAATATAAATGTCATTCGCTGGGTTATGAAACGAAATACAGGTATGATATAGTAAATCATAGTTGGCATTTCTAAAATCATATATCGCGAAGCCTCAGCTTTGTGTCTTACATGTCGCATAGGACAGACAGAATGAACTAAATGTCTTCTTCCCCTTGGCGTAACTGAATACCAACATAAGATCAACAAACAATACGTACTTGACAAGAGACATCAGCATTTCATAGATGACGTGTAGAATGAGTAACACCGTTTCCACTACAATATGCATGACTGTTGTGAAAGAGTGTATGTAATCCACAACTCTATTAACAACTCAAGAAGGAATGAGACTTTAATTTCTGGTCTTGTGTCACGTATAAAATAAACTAAAGTTAGAATCATATTAATTTACTTAGTATCATTGAAAATTAATTCCCACGAATGAATCATTCGAGCGTGACTATCCATAATGATTATGTGCGAACTGAATATCACTGATGCTGTCATTCCGCTTCGTTGGGTTATAACTACGTGCTGCACAAAAAGCTTTAGATAAGATCTGTACGACAGTTGATCGACGCGTTTTTACCTAGAGCAGATCAGAGTGTTATCTGAAAATTCATACACGGTTTGCAATATGTTCGAGAAAAAGAAGAAATATTTCCGACTAGCTATTACTGGAAAGTTCCCGCTATGGTAAATCGAGATGACTACCTAATATCCTTAAGCAATACAATGTACTTGAAAGACATCAATATCACAATGCCGGGTTTGTTTACCGAAAATAGGCGATGTGTTTTGTCAACTTGTTGAAGCGTGGCACAGGCCTTTCAACACGGCTTTTGTTACACTCACATTTTGACCGTTCACTTTCAACGTAAATTTTACCAGCCGTTAAGTACTGAACTGTGACACACGGTTAACTGATATCGGAAATACATAGATGCTCAGTAGAGCTCTAGCATTTAGAAATCGTGGCAATATTCTAACTGGTCTCTAAAATGGCAACCGCTCGATTGCTTGCCTTCAACTTCGCAATCTACTCGTCACTGTAATTTTGCAGGCGTAATCAGGTTAATAATAAAAGAATACCAGTACCTGTTCTAGTCAGACGCCTAAACCTTCGCAAACAAGCTTTTACGTCGCATACGTTACCACTTCTGTAAATATTTAACTAATTCATGAAGAGAAGAATGGTAATCGTTCACTCTTGTGATTAAAATATTTCCCATATAGTTCCAGCGACTGGCAGCGAGCCATACGCGAGCTAATGCGATTAGATTGTAGATCTACACGTATATATCGGCTATAAGACAACGACATAAATGAAAATATTGTGCATCACACGTTTCCGTTTACATAAAATATTACACAGTAGCATTGTTTACCCGACTGGGTAAGTTCTTTCTGGAATTCATCAAAGCAAGTGTCATATTGAACACACCTAATTACTGACATCCGTAGTCCAGTAACAAAAAAATCTGTTAGCTATGCCGCCCTGTAGATTACACAGCTGTTCCATAATATTTTTCCATTTCAACTGATTTTATTTCATTAGAAATTACTTGTTATGTGAGATGTGAACTCACTCGAACTGAACATGGAGAGCGGCATGTCCGTTGAACGATTTCGCATTGCCCTTCCGTCACGACCTGTTATGTTCGACAAATTAGATTATGTGTATTTGAATAAATATAAGGTCAGATAGCTTTAGCTTGCATTGCTAGCGCTTGCTCGCTATGTTACTGGCGATAAAGACCCAACTGTCATGTCATACCACAATTCTCATAAGAATAAAATGACTCTTCAAAAAGGTATTGGTTTTAGTTGGACGTTGAAAATTTGTCGACTTTATGCATTTCATTCACTCATCTCATGTGCGTGTTAAAATGTAACACATATTGAGGAAACTATAATTTCCCGTTTGACCATATTGAACGGTCCTACATACCGTCTAACACAGTTTTTTTAAACTTATTAGCTTTCCCAATACACCAAAATCGACTGTTTGTCTGGGAGAGTGCTGGAATGATGTCTACTTCCCAATAAAATAACCAATGAAACCACTCTTTGACATCCACGCTTTCCTCAACAATTTTTATTATTGTTTCATTTCGATTCGTCGAGGAATGATTGTGTTATATTTGTACTGTTTTAGATTTATACATCTATCCAGGGTTTATATACATAGACCCGAAACGGCGAGAAAACTATTATAGCTATCAACAACCGTTAAAACACTTTCAAAATGTGTTGTATATTCGTTTTGTTTATCTGCGTATCTGCCCTACATTTAAGGACAAAATTTCTCAGATGTTTTATGTAGAATACAGATACATGCCATTAAATTATGTTTTTTTTTGGCAATCCATCCCTATATACTATACATTTCCACATAAGCGTTTTCAGCATTTGGATCCTCGTGGGGTAAGGTAAGGTGACATAAAAAGCGAAAAAAACTTTTATAAATATTAATAGCCATAAGAACAACTTCAAAACGTAAGTTATATTCGTTTATCTGCAAATATGCCCCATATAATGACAACAGAATCTCCGAGGGATAAAGATATATTCAAGGATATTTTAATTGATTTATGGTAGTAAATTATTATTATTAGAATACTTTTCAGCTAAAATATAATGAAGATATTGAACGTTGTTACGACCAGGTACCAACAGTTTATTGTTGATGATAATTGATTGTTTTGACATAAGGCAAGTATTGCATCAATATTAAGACTGGTATCTTGCTGCGTTTTTTGTTTATAGCCGAAAATATCATGTTCATATTAGATGTATAAATTGTTAGCTGCTCAATTGAAAATGCTCTGCCCTACGTTGATGCCACTGGAAAAGGAGTAAATTTTTATGCATTTAATTAAAAAATGAAATTGAATGTCTGCATATATTGCATTATCTGCGGGGACGAAACTAGGACAATCGTTTTATAATAAAAAATTGTTGTCAATGAAAGACAAAATAACATGTAATTACATTATGCTCCACCTTGCAGGCGAGCTTGATATACCAAGTCACACATTATAATCGACGATTGAAATGTTGTGCAGCTGATTTTATCACTGAGAGGTTTTAAAACTGTGGTTGGAGTTTCTAAGAGAATTTGAGGGGTGTATGTGTTGAAATGTCACATAAACAGCAGGTTTCTAACAAAGGTGTAAAATTTGCTGCGATCTAAAAAGTTGCTATAAAATCATGCCGAACGAAAATTGTACGCTTCGGTCGACATACGTTTACAAGCGTATATAGTACAAAAAAAGTACAAATCAATTCAAAATGACAAAAACGTGACAGAGGAAAAACAGAATAAGACAGATAACTTTAGGCTGATTGTAAATCGCATTGAGCCAACCAAATGAAATAAGTGCACATTAAATAAACGTAGTGCGGGTCGGATAACACGGAAACAGAGGTTTAGATCAGATATGATTTTTCCCTCAAAGTGGCGGTAGTTGCCAATGCACATAACAAGGATATAGAGTGGCGAACAGGTATGGAACGCGAAACATCGCTAAAAGATGGAGTCAAGTCTTTCAAACGCTTGACAAATAAAACTGAACGTTTTGTATATAAATATTTAAGAACCACTCTCACCTTCGGTTGCTGTGCTATCTAGGGCCCATGTATCATTCTTAGGAGTTTTTAAAAAAACCTCGTGCCTACATTTGATTTGTGTGAGCGTGTATAAAAGTAAATCGTTGGAGTTTATTTTAATTATCAACTAAATAGTTCGTACGTTGGCACTGAGTAATTTACAGCTTAGGTCATTTGATACCTAATACTGGATTACATTGCAATCAACGGTTTGTGCAGACCTCTACGCCATAAATATTTTGGAGCATGTGCAGAAAGGTTTTTGTAGAAACGGACTTATGCTAGAAATTAGTTTTTTTAATACCAGATTTTAGCCCAAATATTATTTGTCAAAAATGTGTTTTTTCAAGAACAATAACGTAATTTGATAATTTTGCGGATAAGTAGCCTACATATGAAAACTAGATTGGCATATTTTTGAGCCTATAGCTTTGGGTGAATGGGTTTTGCGAAAACGAAGATTCTCCATTGCAGTAATAATATTTGGTATTGTGAATATTAAAAAAAATGGCTGAACGCCGCTCACAGTTTTGAACTTTCAAAAATCTTGCTTAGGTGCGGCAATGTCACATGCCTACTGAACCACATTTAATATATATGTCGCATAACAAACAAGCCTCTGTAATATGTTCAAATTCATTTGCCAGCTGGTATATTACGACAGTTGGACACAGATGAAATTAAAAATCCACAGAAAATTAAACAATGAGAAAACGAGTTATTTTAACTATGATTTCATTCGACGTGCATGAGCAATGGTCGCTGTGGATGAGTGGAGTAATCAGGGAGAGAGAGTTAAAGCTAATAGATTTATTGCGCTATAACTCATTTCCATTATTTGATGAAAATCGTCATTGAGAATGAATATACAATTGCAATATCTTTTAAATGATTTTGGGCACTGCAACGAGAAAATAGCACAACAAAAGTTGTTAGATGAGCTTATCGAATCACTCAAGTTTAGGAAGTCTTCAATATCAATATTTCGTATAAAAGTTTTATCATTTTTGAACAACTATTAGGCTACATTTCCAAAATACAATAACTGTTTGTGAATACTCGTAGCATGGATGTAAAATTAGGCGATATTAAGTTGGCTTTACAGAATGCATTTTTCCAGATTATTGACTTTGTATTCAATTTATTGCTCCCAAATGTGCATAGTGCTGGACTTCAGAACAGTTTTAAAATAGGGTAAAACCATCATTGTCATCTATATATCGAATCTACAAAATCATATTTTTTGTTGCAAAACATAAATATGACTAACAATAAATTACTAATAGTTGCTTCGTGACAGGTGAATGGAATGATATTTTGGTCTGCTGATGGCATCGTAATAATCATGCGTAATGACAATCATAACGTATGAATTAGCTTAACGATCAAAACCTAGTCAGGCCGCAGTTATAGTGTATATGTCAGTGATCGGCTAGTAGATTTTTTGTATACATGACATCTATTGCTTATTGAAAGTCGACAAAATTATTGGTGGATATAAAATAATATAGTTTGCTAATCAATTTATTAGAGTAAAGTCCGGTGCTTTCGTGTACTGTAGGCGGTAGTTATCAGCTACCTGTGTACGTCCGTTATGAATGTAGTTGATAAAGGTCAAATTAGTTGATTCTGAAGTATACTCCGAAGATAAGGTGAATATCCTTCGCCAAATTGTTACAATAACTGCAAGTACTGCAGAAAGAGATACGTCAGTAAATCCGCCGCCTCCAACTTCCTGATGATCGTTTGTATTTTATAAATGAAACAACCATCTATTGGAGATCACGTTAGCCTATATGCTATATTAAGTCGGTAACTGAGTCAGATCATAGGTTTATACTGCTCGTGCATGGTTATTGTAAGTTGGAAAGGACGTTTAGGGTTGAATTTCGGCCAGGTGTGAATTTGAATTCCGACAGAATCATTTTATACGGTCTTTCCATCATTCACGATAAACTTGTCCTGTATACAACCAGATTATATACCTGTAGATAGGCAAGTTTAGGGTAAAAACTTCGACATATCATTCTGTCCTATTTTTGGTTCGTAATCATGATTGTATTTTTATGTTGTGGACGAGCCCGAACAACATTTTTAGGACGATCTAAAACGTCTTGGCGAAAGGTTCGAGATTTCTAAAAATTACATGCCTGTACATGTGAGTGGAGATTCATTTAGTCTTTTTTAAATAAAGGTAGCAAGTATGGCACAACTTGGCACAATATGCCACTGTGATAGAGCAACAATTTATTCAAGTACAAATTTATAAAACTATATGTCATCTGATGCCATTTTGGAACAAACACATACGTTACGTCAATTGCGGAAATGTTACTCATTTACGTTTTGAAAACAGAAATGAATTAGTTCGCAATAGCAATGTTTACTGCAACAAAAGTAGTTTCGCTTCACTTCCCCGTTGAAATAGCTGAGAGAAAATTAGGAGTGTGCATAATTATGGACCATGATTTTTAGTTGTGTTTCATTTCTTCGTCAATTTTTATCCAACTTTGTCTAATGATGCTTAAATTAGATAAAAAATGGTCTAAATTACACGAATTACATAATCGGGATAAAAATAAAATCTTCATAATGAAATCAGTTACGGCCTACTGAATTTTCCTCAACTATATACAGACTATAATCCAGATTGTCGATATGATTTACTGAACTCTTATGGGCAGTGATGGCTCGGGCAAAAATAATATTTGTTCTTTGAATTGATACGTTACAGTAACAAGAATATGCCACATAAAGTAAATGCTTTAGGTATATTTGGAATCATTTTATCATTATTAGGTTTTGCATTGCTTTGCACTAGTATGTTTACTCCACATTGGATATATAATTTAGTCGGATCCAGTTCTGGGATTATTACTGAGTGTGGCAAAAATGAATGTTTTTTATCGGGTAAGGCGTGTTATTATGCTCTTAGATTAAGTTATTGGTCACGAAATGTACTTATGGATCTTTTGTAATTATTTTTTTTTTTTGGTATTTTTCTTCACATTATTACAAAGGAATCGCTTTTCTTAACTATTGGACCAATTGCTCTGAAGTGGTTCAAAATTATATTTTTCGATAGATTATCTTTATTTATTTCAGAAGTTTCCGTGGGCTCTATGGGATTCGGTTTTTGTTTACGATGACGTCATCAAAAATCGTGCACCTTGTGGCGGTTCGCGTTCGCATTAATCGTGAAGGCTGCGGTACCTCTGTAGTGAACTGTTACAAGTTGCATATCCGTACTAATTCGCTTTGGCTTTCGTGTCCATGTATTTGAGCACCGCTATCTGTTTTTTCGTTATTATTTTTATTCGTGTATAGAACTATATGCCGTTATACCTTTCTCTTATCGGATGAATTTTTCGTACAAGTGTTCTGGCCAATCTGTAATCACACCAGCAGGCTGATTACGTATAGCTGGGCGTGGAATGTTGTGTGTCGGTCGTATACGTATGGTATATCAGCTAACGTTATTTTTCCGCATATTCTTCTTATTATTTATATACACCAGGTAACAGAATAGAGTCACCAACTTTCGACATGAGAGCGCAAGTTCTATTAATTGCCACAAAAGTTTTGGTGGGTTTCAAATGTTGAGCAGCAAGATTTGCTACATTCATATACGTAATATTTCCATACGCATGTATTATATATTTTCTCCGGAGGAAAATAAATAACGTAACGAAACGCGAAGAAGAAAAGTTGAAATATTTTTCTTCGGCGATTCCCTGACCACCATCAATATATATCTATTGAAATCGGCTACTGGTCTGCATGCACAGTCCTAGAATTCTCCTACCATATTGAACGAACTAAAAATTAATTTTACAGTTACGACGCAAGATGCGAGGATATTGCCAACAATCATATGTTTAATTCTGGCTTGCATCCTAAACATAATCGGAATCGTGGTGGGAATAGTCTCTTGTTTCAAATCAACGAAGATAACCTTGAAGGGAGCTATAGATATTGGAGGAGGTAAAATATTTAACATGTGGCGCAGTTTTTATGATTAGATTAAAACATATTTTTCAATGTATAGCGGATTAATGCAGCTCGGATTAGAAAATCCAAAAAAACTCGACCAAACGGCGCGGTTGTGGGCTAAATATATTTTTTAATCTCATATATTATGATGGTGATATTCAAACGAATATAACCAGACCAAAAACGTTTAGGAGAAATACAAAAATATGATGGAAAAATTTAGATTTAACTATTATTTTATTGATTCTTTTTTCTGATTTCAATTTCAAATGAGAAAATAAAATTTTCGATCTGTCATATAATGTAAATACTATTTTAAAAGTTTTTATTTGCCATGCATTGAAAAATTATTACTTACTAAAGTACGTACTTCTCAAACATTTATCATTATGCACTTATGTAACTGAACGAAACTCATTGACTGAGTGTATTCAAAAATATTTGGCATAGGCAGGTATGTAGATTGAGTGGAATTATTTTTGAGGCAAGACAGAAGAAAAATGCTCAATGAGTATTTTATTTTACATTTACATTTCGGCATGACAAATTCACGTTAGTTGCAGTTATTTTCTTCAATTTAAATAATTTCATACTGTTTGCTGTTTAACACAATGAATTTTAAAACCTTAGCAATTTTGACACTTGTCATTTTTTTCCAGGGCTTGTTGTTTTAGTAGCAAACGGAGTTTTTACGTCGATGGTTGTTTTAGAAATTCGTTACAAAAATGGCAATCCTGGGTTCAGTGATTTCGGTTGGTCGTTTTACTCATGTTGGTCGTCTGGTGCTGTTATTATTCTTGCCGGAATAATCGAAGCTAATGGAAGGAGTACAACCCACCAGAATGAAGAGGTGAAAGATATTACCGGACTTATAGATATATAACGGAGCTCTTCATTGTTGGGTATTCCAAAATGGCTGCATGTTATTCATTTCGATGGAAAATAGTCTACATTAATTCACTAAAGCAACCATTTAATATAACTGGAATAAGGCAAAAACTACTGATATCAAATATTTTCGAATATCAAAATTATTAATATATTATCTTTTTTATAATCAAAAATTTATTACAGTTTTGTTTACCGAAATTTTAATCAATTTAAAATTATTAACGATACGATGAATTTCACAACCACTCAGCATATAACTATCTGACTAGGCACTAGGCTATATTAAATGGCCAGAAAAATGATAAATAACCTAGGTATAGGTAAACCACATTATGATGGAACATTCTCGCCAAATAAATTAGAAATCTGAAAGTATCAATTATTTAATAATGTATATATATGCGACTGCCGGCTATGAATTTTTTGATGAATGATTTTAGAGAAGTACGACTTTAGCATTCAAGTCTGTATTTTAAATCTTCGTGAATTAAGAGACCTTTTTCTTTTGCTCCAAACAGATTCATCCAACTACCATGCAGGCTCACGTGTTGTATGTTAAAACTCCACAGGCTCGCAATGGCACAATTAGCCAAGCTGGAGAGTATCAGATGGCATTAATTAACGATTGAAAAAAACTATCGTGGATTTGTAGTGGAGACAACAGAGAGTGTATTACACTAGGCGTTGGGTCGTAATAATATGGAGAAAATTAATCGTTTTGCATTTTTTACACAATGAAGTTTTGGCGCTCCTGAAGTATGCACACCAAGATGTCGCATAACCTGAACCCTAACCTGGTACACATATTATGTTCAGGCTGTGCGCCATCTTGGTGCGCATACTTCAGGAGGTCCGAAGTTTGTTATAATAGGCTATTCCTGTCAAATGTTCATAATTATTGAAACATTTTTAATGCTTTTAATAATCAATGACGTAGCAAACTTATCCGTACGATTTGGAAGTTGTTCCAGGATTACGTTTTCAATTTTGTTTTATTTACCGACCTTTCTAGTAAATTTACTTCCAAATTAGTCATATACGCCAACGAATGACAACACAACTCTGTATGATATTTTATTGAAAAAAAATTTACCTGACTCAAGAATAATCAACCGGCAGGCTTAATTTTGGTTTCTGAAGCAGGAATTAAAAACATAATTATGTATAAACGTTACGTATGATCTGATGCCGACTTAAATTTTAATATTGCGAGAAGTTGTTCAGTTTTACTCATATGACACTCGAAAACTGACGGGACCCAATTCATATTTACCAGTAGAGAAAGTTAGGCAATATTCCAGGCTAAACTCAAAACCTGGGCTTAGAATCTTGCAAGTATACAAATTCCGGGTCGAATCCAGTTCAATGACGTTATAGGTAATCAGAACTGCTTTTGAGGCATCTATAGTGGTTTGGTATTGGATGAAAAGACTTGAAAACATTATTAATATACCCATTGCATTCAAACGGGAGGGTTTAATGTTTTCTTTTCATAATTAACATGTATCAAAGCAGAATTTTTTTCATGTTTGATCGCTCGGTTTGTTTGATTGATATCTCTAATTAATTCTTTTTTTTAGCCGAATACGATAGAATTCAGTCATGTTCAAGCAGCAAATTTCAATGTGAATTATTGTAATTCGTCTCCCGTTAATTTATAGTTTTATAGAAATATCTTATTGTGAGGACAAATTTTCAACAAATATAATTTTGTATGTCGTACTCAAAACGATATCTAAACGGGGAAATTTCGGCACTTCAAGTTGTATCAGCACTCAGCAGCATTAGGACGATAAAACGTAGGTATCATCACTGAACCTCACCTCAATTAAGTTGTATACCCAAATACGGGATATCAACCCGTTATCATTTTAAAAAATTACTCTACTTTCTTTTGGATCTAAAACAATACCATTAAATGGATCTCTGTACTCCAATTCTGTGCCTCACTCAATAAAAGTCAACCTCCACTGGAAGCAATACTGAGTATTGTTCACGTATTAGATCACACACTGGATGAATGAACCACAACAACCCTTAAGAAAATATAAAAGAGACTCAAATTAAAAACGTGCGATCAACCAAGATTGCACTTGACACGTAACTGGTACGCAATACACCTTTTCGACCGGGATTTAAAAAAAATACTTCTCTAACGCGGAGCGTCAGGCATCATATCTCATCGTCATAGATGGATTTTTGTTTGGCCACAGGAAATGGCGATATGGAACTGTTCACCGTGATGAAAATGTCCGTCTAATGAAGATGCACTGTAAACAATGTACTTAAATTGGTAATCATCACACTAAAACATAACTTGGACAGGGACAACCGATACAACAACCAAATTAATAAACCTGGATTGCTCAAAACCGGCTATCGGAAATTCAAGAACTTAATGTTTATAGTTAGGGATCGATATGACTCGATAGATCTCTACAATCTAACCAAAGAATGGAAAGAAATGCTGGATTCAATTGTAGGAAATACGACCTGAAACGTTCTAATCAGCCAACACAAATGGTAGCCAAAATGTCGCGTAATACTGCCTAATAATTTCCAAGCATGACGCGTATTCGAACGAGGGACGGTCGTAGCGAGCTTTGAGACAGTGGGTCGAGGATAGGGAAGTTGAGGGGGATGAGCGTAGTGGGTCGCAATAGAAAAAGCCGACAGAGCTAGAGCAGTGGTTTGAGGATAGAAAGGCTGAATCAAATGGGACAGTAGTGGGTCGAGGATAAAAGCTTTGAGGTTATCGGATAAGGGTAACGGATGACATGGGCAACCTATGGGCCACATGTCAAATCCGACCCGTTGGATGATTCAATCTTTCAATTTCCGTTTTTAACCAATTCTGCATGCACTTCGTATGGCGCAATAGCCTTGTTATATTAAGATCGTAGTCTGTGTAAGTTGTATCTTAAGTTGTCACCGACTTTCATGTTATGGGAGCGTTAACAAAACTTTAAGTTTATTCGATTCGATGGCGTTCTTCTCAGACATCTTTCTTTCACCTAATACGCTCGTCGTCTGCGGTCACGCTAAGCATCGAGTTTCAATTTAGTGCAGACAAAGTTTTGTTAACGTCTCCATAACGCTGTCTTGAAGTTTTTTTTGTTTATAGTTTGCGCATTCTGTTCATAAAATGTAACTTTTTACGTCACACTTATGGCCTGTCAGTCTTGGTGGGTAATAAGATAGGAAGGATAAATTGGTGGTGCAAAGAGAAATGAGGCATTGGGTCGTTTTTTTTGCTTGGTGAATACTACAGCTGCGATCATTTGGTATTTCTATTCACGTTGAGACTGGAATCATAAATCATCATTGTCCCAGGACCTGGAAAAGCTAGGACAGTCTAGGTATCGATACTGTGATACAGGCGGTGGCATGAAAATGTCGTGTCACACGTGTCCCACTTGTTTCACGTGTCCAACTTATCCCTCGTGTTCCACTTGTACCACGTGTCCTACTTCTCCCACTTGTTCCACGTGCCCCGAAGGACAAGTGGGACACAACATATTTGAGACACTCCGGAATCTGTAGTGATTTATAAACAATCAATCACGTAATCAAAGAAATGAATGCTTGTACTTATGAACATTGTACTTATCTTGGGCAGTTTTCGGGTCTAATGCAAGACTGTTTTACAGCTAAACTGACGCCCGATTATTTTTTCTGAGACGAATATTCCAAATAGAAACAAGCCTTCAACAATTTCGTTCAATGATCAATTGGTTGAACTATTCGGTGTCGAGTAAAAAGTTTAAATCTGTCTTCGAGAAAGTAGAATCGCATTATAAAAATCGCGAAAAATTTGTAAAACGTACCGACGAAATACGTCAGAAAAATTTGTCATGTGGAATATCATTCTGCAATTCGGAATTTTTTGTAGATGTGAGCGATTTGCACTTTTTTTAATCCCATTTGCAGTTAGATGAGTTGAAACTTTTGTTGTTATTTCCGATATAGAAATGTTAGGACTGCATTGCTATCTCGGGTCGAGTTTTTATCGGGTAATACATGCGTCGTTGATAAGTATACGGGTTAGAAGCCGGTTCCAGAAAGTAATATACCGATCGATTATTTTAAAGCAGGCGTCGGCAATCAGTAGGCCAGTTTAAATCTAAATTTATTTGCGCACCGCTCTTCAAAACACTTCTTTTACTTAACTTGAAAGGCCAACTCAAATGTATAATACAAGAGAATTCTAATGTTCGATATTGATTACCGATAAATTTTCTTTGTTGACTATTATTTTGCGTAAACTTGTATCATTCCATCATACCGTGTTCACATTTTAGATAACAAAATACCATGGTCATATAGCCTCCAACAGTGTCTAACGGTATGATATTTCACTGGTTCCCGTTTCAAAATACGTACAACGCTTGGAATATATTTTGACTAGTTTTTTTTATTATTATTGTTGTTGTGATCTTGAAAGATTACGAAATTGGAATTTGATGAATTACGTCAGTATGCCTGAATATCGATATCCTCCGACTGAGACAATAGAAGAATATTATTAAAAATGTTTGATCTGGACAAATCTCAAATCGGTCGATAACAAAAGTCTCCGAATATATTGATAGAAATGTGTATGAGAGAATAGGATATCTCTGGCTATTACACCCTTATGCACACAGGAGGCAGTATGCATGTAGCGACCTCGTCAAAGATTGGTAACCGCCGATTCTCTGTATTTTTCGAACCATAAATATGCAAATTGGCGAAGACGAAACATTTCATTTACATGGCGTTAACGATTAGGTTCTATTTGTATTTTTTACAATGATAAAATAGTATTATCTTATCAACGCCAATCAGCCAGGTCCTAAATTTATTTGATACAAAGAAAGCAAATCAACGAAAGCAAACCAACTACGATTACTCGTACTTTATATCGCTATTTCGATCCACATGGCGGGGTCTTTGTAACCATTTCCTGTGATTGTTAGGCCAATTCCAGAATCAAAGGCGAATAAAGCGTGCATCTATAGTCAAAGCATGATTTTTGGTGAAACTAAACGCTGACATAAATTCCTGCGCATGCAAATTTCTCAGGATAAATATTTTTTTGGCCTCGAAACAAAAGCACTCCAATAATAACGATATGATGGAAACAAGTGGGACAAGAGTGACACGTGGGGCAAGTGGGACACCTGGTAAACGTGAGACACGTGGTACAAGTGGTAGATGTGGGACACGGCATTTTTGAGACACCCATGATACAGGAACTGGTATGTTAGTGTGGCTCAGGGTCGGCCAACCTTTTTGGCCGAAAGGCCAAATGTGGTTCACTAATAATTGCTACAGTGACTACAGGTTAATGAAAAAACAAACAATATCCTAACAACAAACTTTCACAATTATTAGAATAATAAAACTGTTGTTTCCCATCCAGTGATGGGGCGCGATCAGTGGTTATTCCCGAAAGTTTCGCCAAGGGCAACCCAAGACCCTTGATAATTTTTATCACCGCTCTTAACAAACCAATGCCTCTAGTCGTACCCTCAGGGACAATGGCTGCGAGCTCCACGGTAATTTCATATCATCATTAACTCCCCGCAAGAAGATCGCCAAGACGCCAACTGAGCAGTAAACTTGATGTCAGTGCTTTCGTCAAGCGCCAAGGAATACGATGAATATTTTCCCACTTTTGCAATTAAAGTTTCCGCTATAGAGTTCCCAACCTCTTCAACACGACGAGTTATGGTCTGTCTTGACAGGCTATTTTTGCAAACACCTCTTTTATTTCCGGTCGTAAAACATTTTGGCAACCTGAACAATACATAATATATGTTCCTTAACGAATTCTCAATCTGAGAATGGCTTCGATTGTTTTGCGATAAATCATATAGAGTAGTAAAAGAACAAGTGCGTGAGCGACTATGGCACATTTATGTATCGATATCTCTTCTCAGTTGCTTTCGATTCAAAATGGCTCATGGCTTGTTTGGAAGGGCTGGCAGAGTTCATTTCAGAGTTAAAACAAATCGTTTGTATCACATCTTTGTATACTAAATCACACAAAAATAATTTTACTCAATTTTTTTATTCAATTCTGAAAATTCATCGCGGGCCACTCGAAATGCTTCCCCGGGCCACTCGAAATGCTTCCGCGGGCCACGGGTTGGACGACCCTGGTAGCTGTTCCAAAGTTCCAGCTTCGTCCCGTATACGATTTTTGTACTCACTTATGAAAATTTGCATACGATTAGTTTCATTTTGGAGAGTTTGTTAGCGAGAATCATAATATGTTTATATTTTGATGACGTATTGGTTTGTTACGCAGACGATTTGAAAGTATTGATGCAGAACTATTGCGACATAGACGTGTTGAGTTTAGATTAACCCCGGGAATGAATTATTGGCGCGCTTCTTCGATAAGTTGTCAATGTCTGGCTTGTACTCTTCCAAGCTGCTAATCGTGTTTAGTATCGGATTTACGCAGTGGCGGCGCGTGGTCATTTTGACAACCGGGGAAAGCTACTGCGGGACCAAGTCACCCCCATCTACGGGGACAGGATGAGCGCTGTAAGTTCTCCCATCATTTTATGAGTATAAAAACCATTCCACCGGTAACAACCAATCGGCAAAAGCGACAATTTTTAACGATAAGAAAGTGTCTTTAAAACCGGTCCAAGTCAAGGGATGATTAGACATAGTTTATTTTGAAACCTCTTTCAAAAGGAAAGGCAATATTTACCCAGATAAATACAATGACATATTAACAGAAACTTCGGGAAAGCAGACATAACCTAAAATAAGGTTTAAAACGTTACTATGAAGAAAGGAAAGTTAATGCAAAGATAAGGACATGCGTCGCTCACTCATATATATATATGCTGCTAGACTTCTACTGCTTGAACATATATGCAACACGCCGCGGTTTCTTGGAAGCAAAATGCTCAATAACGCGCTGATTAAAGTCATGCATCCCAGAAATAACGTCTCTGTGAATGGATAAAACAGCCAAGGAATTTAATCTATCTTGCTTCATTGTGTTTCTGAGATACGTTTTAATACGCTTCAGCGTGCTGAATGTTCGCTCTGCGTCGGCGGAAGAAATAGGCGTCGTCAAAATGATGTCCAGAAATTTTGCAGACGCCGCAAAGGTAGTTACTAGAGTGTTATCTATGAGGAACCCATAGAGCGCGCAAGTTGATGTGATGTTCAAAAAAGTTTGATTGGTGTATATACGTCGCAATTCATTTTCCAATTTACCCACGTTTATCATGGGGTAAAATTTGGAGACAGTAGCCAACAAATGGATGGGAAATTGACGTGCAAATTTTGAAAATTTTTTGGGGTTCATCAAAGAGAACGCGGCAAGGTGTTCAGTGCGCAGACGATCGCCTATTTGATTCACCAGAATGTCACAGCATTCCTTTGCAGACAAAATCAAACGCTGCGTTGTTTGCCCGCGGCGTAAAGAAGCACTCCATGTGTCGTCGTATTTTATTGTTTCCCGGATACGAGGTACAGCATCGCAGAAGTCTGAAATACACGACTGCACAGACGCTCCATCCATTAGCCTTGACTGCAATGCGCCGTATAATACATCCACGTGATAGAATATTGTGGAGAAAAAAGCGAGAAAAAATGAAAACTCACCATCTTCTAGCAGACGCTTTAGACCTGCCGCCTCCCTCACAGAGCGTTCGTCCCGAACCGGAGAGCTCTGAATGCCATTGAAACACTCAATGAGCTCAGACCTAATTTCGAACACGCCCTGCACCACGCGTGATTGGAAGTTGCAACGTGTTGGTGCACAAGCTGGGAGACGGCGGCTACATATCTGGCGAAGGAGGTCAGAGCGCTTCGGCGAAACGGAAAAAAATGAAGAAAACCCCGAAACATTTGCAAAAAATATACGGACGAGAGGGGTATCAAGACACATATTTTTAATAACGAGGTTAAATTGGTGTGCATAACAATGTAAAAAATGCGCATGAGTAAAATCTTCTTTTATATAAGCTTGAACACCATGTTTCGACCCACTCATGACTGCCGCGCCGTCATAAGTTTGAGCTATCAACTTTGACTTCGCGTTGTAAGGCTGTAACACTTCTTTCAGTACAGCCGAGATCCCGCAAGCCGTGCGATCAACGATTGGTACAAAGCTGTGAAATCTCTCGGTAGGTTTACCATCTTTCACAAACCGAAAAATCACAGCCAGTTGGGAAACGCACGTGATGTCAGTTGTCTCGTTAGACTGAATAGAAAGGAACTGGCAATTCTCAATTTCCAGAGCCAAATGTTGTAAATAAATTTTATACATTGAGTCGAGCAAATCATTTTGGATATCCTTGGATGTCCCTTTCGAAACAGTTGCGGCATCAAGATGATCTCTCAATACTGTATCTAGGGATGCGGTGTATTCCACCATATCCAAAAATACCCCTCTATTAGAAGAGCCAGCCCGTTCATCGTGCCCACGGAGGGACAGCTCGTGACAACCAATGAACTTCAAAACATCTATCAATCGACCGAGAACATGGCGGTTTTTCTCGACGTTTTGGTTGTGCCGACGAATAGAAACCGCGCGTCCTTCATCCAACTGTGCTGCAATATTAACATTTCCGAATGTTCGGTATTTTACTGCATTGTCCAGATGCTCCATAGAAGATTGATGATCCCTGGCACGCTCGGAAAGCTGTTTAAGATCTCTAAAACCAAATTTACACCAACGTGAGTCACGGGCGGTAGCAAAAAGTAGGCAATAAAAACAAAAAAGTGCATTTTTGTCCTCGCTGTAACACAACCATTCGTGTTTTTTATACCAAGTTTCTGCGCAGAATGTACGCCGACGCTTTCCTCCGTCATGGGATTGTTCCAGTGAACAATTTTTTGGTTTATAAGGCCCAAGACGTTGTACCTCTAATTTTTGTTCCAGCGGCAGCTGCGAAAACGGAGTGCGAAGTAGTGCATCAACCTTATTCATTATGAGGTCTAAGGCTAAGAAATGCGAAGCCGGAAAGAAGTGAGGAGCTCAAAAGGAATGTGGAAAATCGAAAGCAAATGGACTAAAGGTCTCTAACTGATTCAAATAGCGAAACAAGCGACAAAAACGAAGGCGAGGAAACTATCAACTCTTCAAGCAACCAACGAACGGGAAGGAATGCTTAAAATATGTCAACACGTTGTTGTAAGAAACGTCGGCATTGTGTCGTCATAATTTCGGGGCTAGCCCCGATGATTTAGTAAAAGAAACAGAAAACAAACGAGACAAACGCGGCGAGTGGAAGATAAAAAGAGAGAATACGATATACAATGAGCAACCGGGGCAAAATCGGCGTCACCCCGTAGACGTTCGGCGAAGGCTTTGCGAGCAAAAAATGAACCATGTCGGGAGAATATAGCTAGTGTAGACAGTCTGTGCAACCGATATTGAGGTATTTTTCGAATATTTTTTATTATACCGAAAGAACAACCGGGGCATTGCCCCGGTTGGCCCTATTGACGCGCCGCCACTGATTTTATCCATATGAAAATGTTCTCACTTTAAAAAGTTCTAAATAGCATCCGGAAAATAATGAACTACACAATGTACATCATAAGTCAACAAACTATATAGCATATCCTGATTTATTTTAGATCATAAATAGATAATCAATTTCATGTAACAGAGTACAAAAATGAGAACCTATAAACTATTATTTACTTTTATAAATATAAAAATTCGTTTGAAATTGATGCAACAAAACAACATTTTTGTATTTAGATAATGGAATTTGTGTAAGTAAAGAATTGAAATTGACAATATTATAAAATATAACTTGTATGAGCTAAATTCAAATTGATTTTGTCCGAATGTTCTCTATCGTGCGTTGTGTAATCTGGATTTGAAATCACTGCAAAATGAGAAAGGGTATCAGTTAATATAATCATTTGATACAGTTTTCTACAATACATCCAATACTATGTAACTACACCAAAGAATATTGTTTGTCACATTTCGGACTTGGATGGTGCATGACGAATGCTTAGTGGACCCGTTGTTTCTTTTGAATTGCTACCGAATTGTCCTTTGTTGCCTGTTTTCGGCAATATTCGTAGGGATTTACACAATTTTATATGACAAAATTTTTATAAACAATTGGAATATATTTGAAGCATTATGAACAACTAACCATCACCACAGTTAATAAAAGTTGTCACAGTCACCTCATTTTCGCGGTTCAATACGAACAAAATGAATTACTGGAAAGCAACATATTGGGTACTGTGCAAGACTCCAAGAGTTCTAGGTGTTTGAACTTATTATAAAGTTCCTTGACGTGAAACAGGAACTCAGAAATGAACCATTGGTGATGTTGCTGAAAAATAATGTTAGTAAAGTTAACCTATATATTTTTAGAAATTTTGGATGTTCATGTAGTGTTTTTTATTTGTATGAAAAACGAATAGGGTGATGATTTTTTTTTATCTTTTAGGACCTCGTTTTCCTGTCATTTAATGACATTACTATGTTGCTTGTATTCCAGATCAAAAATTATAATTTCGGACAAATCTATTTCACACAAAGAATACGATCAAGATATGAGTTATTTAGTTCATATACTATAGTTCAACAGTGCCGTATTTAAATTCGTGAAAATATCATCAGCATTACTGCAATTCCTCGTCGTCGTGGAGTGGTTCACAATAACCGATGATTACAATCTACTTGGTTCTAATTAACTACTTTCTCACCCAAGGGAACGTTATGATAGCGTTAGAATCAATCATCTTTGTCGCATTAACAGTTGTCCTGTCTCTCAAAATTGCGACAAAAATGTCGAACTGTCTTTTCCCGCAGCTGGCGTGAAAGCAATTATTATTCCTCCAAAAAAAAGGTGAATTACTTTACGTATATGTCGTGTTCCTGTAACCATGTTCGTTTTCCATGTTGAATACACATCATTGTCAAGCATATCGAACAGCACGGTATCTTTCTCATCCGCCTAAATGAAGCAAAACACAAGTATATAATGAAATACATAAATTGGTTGCAATTGTCCAAACTAAGCCTATAATAAGCAACCTTTAAATTTGTCGGTCTAAAATTTGCAACAATTCATGATGTACACTAAGAACATACTAAAAGTAATTGTGCTTCATTCTACTGGCGTTCTCAAACAGTGGTTGTTTAATTTAAATTCAATTCAAAATTTATATTTTCTTTTACAGTTTTGGGAAATTTAATATCAACTTGATTCATTCATTTTGATATCACACATTTATTTCGATCAATGATTGGTGTGAAAAAGATTAAGATTTATTGTAGGGTAGTACAACAATTACAACAAATTTAATTTCGCTGATTTGAAACGCCTGAAGCTTCTTATTTCCCTACTTGGAGACAATATTATAAAACTGCTCTTAAGATTTCCATTTTTTCTTTCTGAGGTTTAGCGAGTTAGACCAGTTGTCTCGTTTAAACTGATTTTTGACTTGTTATTGTACCAGTTCTGATGAGATAGAAATGAACTTTCTTTTCATATAATTTATATATTTGATATTGGTCCTGTTAACTGTAAATCAAGAAATAAATGTGAACATATAAAATCACGTCTACATTTGCTTACAAGTCTTCATTTGTAAAACATTTTGTAGCAGGTTTGCCCTATACCCCATGAAAGGTTTCTTATTATATACAATAGTAATAATTCAATAGAGTATATTATTAGATACAATAAGGTAATTCAAAATCTTACTGACTTGTGAAATTAAAGAGATAGATTCACTGTCATCTCGTCGCATGTTCATTGCATTGCATGTCGCATTCAAGTACTTTTGTACAGCTTTGTAACTTGCGGACAACGACTTTTCGTTCACCCTCAATATGTTTTTTAAAGCAATTGAAGACATTTCCTGATATCTCTGTATCATCTCTCTAAGTCGCTTCTTTTTTCTGATCATCTTCTAAAAAGTTATACATTTCAATGCAAGCTTTTATAATGCTTCCAATACATATAATGATGTAATAATAGAATATATGTATATTATTTAAAATGAAATTTATCTGATATATCACTTGAGGCAAGAGTGGGTGAAATGATCATAATTTATATTTTGCCATTAAGAAAAAACTATATCATTTTTTTTTTCATTTTAAAAGTAAGTTTACTGCGAAATGCGTTAATAGATAAATACTCAAATTTATATCACTGTGTGTAAGAGCGAATACGCCATTGATGCGGCGACGAACGATTTTGGAATACAGCTTACTTCTTACGACTGCAATAAAGGCATAAAAACTGTATTTATCTTGCATGACTTTATTAAAGTATTATCTGTGTGATTTCCTAACTTACTCCATGTTGCCGTTGCATTGTCCATTTGCTGACGCCGATTGAATCCTAAATATTAAAATATTATGTTAACAAAATGAATACCCTGAATATAATGTTTTATGTGGAACTTATCTCAATTACTAAAAGTATCTATCTACTTAATACATTTTAACCATTTTTAAGGAATTTATATTTATCGTTGGCATCTACAGTGGTCTGGGTGGGAATACAGAAAATGTTCTTTTTTATACTCGACTCAGCGACTCTAATGGATGTTTCCCGATCATCAACTCCCTTGTTTGTTTCCGAAACAATGACCAGCCTGCGTTAATTCAGCGGTGATGTAACAATTGGAATTTTCTCGGCAGCTAATACACTTTCCCTTCGACAGGATTGACAAGCATATTTGTAAACACTTGTAACTCAATGGTTAGTTTGAACCCTGGGAAGTTTTAGTTTTGTTGCAAATTAATCCAAAATTAGTTCTAATAAAGCAGCGATAGACCAGGTTAAAATTACCTAGCTTCCTGTACCTTTGTATTGCAGATGATCAAATATTTTGACTCGAAATGATTCATTTCAACGCATTTCAATTTAATTTCAGTAATTTTTCTATAATTACCATTTTGTTTGTAATTCTAGTTAATTGTGTCATTACCCTTCCATTATACTGTCACCATGTGGTATTTAGGCTATCTTGCATCAAGAGGGATCGCGCTTCATAAGTAGAATGATATGAATATAAATAAAAAGAGTTTAAAATGATACCTGTGGTGCATTACTACTTTACTCTAACGGTCAAATGACACCGATATCTATATATATAAGTCGATAGTCTTTGTTTCTACAAATGCATTTCTTCGTGATAAGTAAGCAAATTACCGCCAAGGTATCCTGTGCTAAGAAACAACTGAGCGCTTACCATTATCATTTGAGATTTTTGAATGGCTTTTCCCAAATTAAGAACGGTATCACATTGCAGGAATGAAACCATACAATGTGACATATTAAAAAGCGACCGGCAAACATCAGTTTCAAATAAAAGACGATTTTCTTTGAATCTGTCGTTTACAACTCCCGAATGGAGAGATTTGCATTCGCAGTTTGAGAGCAGAAGCAATATGCCAGCCGCTGGAAGAATATCTGTTTAGAACGAATGAAATTAAACAAAATCAGCGTAACATATCTTTAACATAGAAATGCAAACAGTCAGCAAATTGTCATTTGTAAAAAATAACAACATCTTTCATGACAGCAAACTGAAAATCATATGGATAACAGTCTTTATACTATCACTATATTTTTAAGCTACACTAGTACTCACAAGACTTTGCGTGTATCATAGTTGCCTTTTTATGTCTTCAGGTGTATCCAACGCGACTGCCTCTTGCTTTGGCATTATCCATTTATATATAGTGTGCGTTAATGTGTATATTAAGAAGCAGGGCAGTGCACGGATGAGTTCATGAAGAACATCGTGCAATATACAAAATAAGTGGATCAAATCATTTCGAGAGAAAATGCCTTTTGGCGTTTGGAGCCTATTTCGCCATCAAACCATCCATCATATTTAGTGGCAAGTACAACAATAAACACATTTCAATTGAATATACCGGTAATAAAAAAATTATTGCTTGGCGGCTAAATAACCTCAACATTATCACACCAGTCTGGCAGTCACGTCCGCAAAAAAGTTTTAATTTATCCCAATTCAACATTAATCAACGTGCACAGCAGACATCAGTAGAATTGAGATTATGCGGCACATAGTGGACTAATGAGAAGTTTTCTCAAAGTGTTCGTAAGTCTATAGTTCGCAATTTTGTCGGTATGAAAATCGTCCTTTCTATTATAACGAAAAATGTTGCTGCTGTTGACCGTATGATAATAACATAATTATCTAGAACAGCTAATCCTAGTTTCCCACTGTCCTTGTCGAATCTATTTTATTCTAAGTTATTCTTTTTAAATGGGCTCGGGGTTTCTCGATTTAGTGAATAATTTCTTTATCTATATTATTTATTTTTTTGAAACAAGGTCTTTCTGTGACCAATCTAAGACTATTGTTTGTCTCATTTGTGATAGGAAGAATTTGGAGTGCGCACAGCGATTGTTGTTTATTTCATTGGCATTGTAATTTAGGTCAAATATCTTGTAAAGTTTTGTGGAATGACTTAGTTGACGTTAAAAATATCGATCATGATTTATTGTCCCGTGAATATGATATCATTGTTTTATACTGATGAAAAATTACGGGTGTTACGCCGAAAATTAAATTTTACAGTCAAAAGGGAATTTGGTGCTTATTCGATAATTTCAAAGTGACAAATTGAAAATTTGTTACACTATTCCAACCCTTGAATTAATAACGTTTTAACATTGAAGTTTTCAGTGGTTAAAGATTGTATTTCTCGCTGGAAGGCTATTTTAGGGCCGTATCATGCCTTTCAGGGTCTCTAAGCCATTGTGACTTTGGGGTGCCATATGTATAAAGAGTAATAATAATGAAACCAGTGTTCTATGTTATATGAGCTTGAAAAAGTAAGCTTCGGTATGAATGTTTCCACGAGAATCGATTTATTTGCTTGTTTTCGTAACAATGACCAATCACGTCCAACCATCGTTATGAACATCGCTTCGTTTTTTGGGGGGTTTGTCGATTTCAAATATACTTTGAAAAATTAGTTCTTGATCAAATAACTTAATAGTCATTGTGTCTTCCGAGGAACTTAAGTTTAGATCCAATAATCAAAAATTAGGCCCACAAACTCTATGGCAGACAAGGCCAACCTGTGACCGGCACGTACTCAAATAGTTTTAATGAAACTAATGTTTTTAAACAAGCAAATCAGATTGTAAGCGCCAACTTCAGAAACACTCTCAAAATAAGCATAACATTTTTTGCAATAGTACTGTTTAGGGAGAATTTTTCTGGGGTCAAAAGGTCGGAGAAACATTCATTTACTACTAATTGAGGGCCAAGTTATGATAAAGTTGCATGACGTTTTTAAATAAAAAAAGTTTTAATGCATTCAAACATTTATAGAGAGATTTAAGATGCTATTTGGGAACAAAAATATGCACAAATTTCAACCAGGCCAATATTGAGGTCTGTGCCGCCCGACCAACTCGAATTACACTATTTATCACTGATGCACCATTGAAGATTCTTCCATGAACATTTTCAGGGGTCCCCCCATTTCCTTTGGTGCCCCAAGCACGTTCGTATATCGCTTAATGGTTTATCCAGTCCAGCTACTGTGACAGATTGCATATCCGCCCTAAGTCGTTTTGGCCTTCGCGTTCATAGATTTGGGCATTGTTTTCTTGTTATTTTTATTTACAGTGATAACTTTCCCATTCAATCCACTGATGTCCAATGAATATTGCACTCACTTGTTGGTAAATTTTTTTTTTTCAACATCTCGCATTGCTGAGCATAACGTTATTTTATTTGAGATATTGAATGGTTTATTTATTAATTAAAAAGTAATATCATCTAAGTGGGATTATATCATATCAATATAGATATGTAAAACAGCGATCTCGTTTCTTGTGGTTTTGCACTTAGACCTACATGTTTTTATTTCATGGGAAAGTCAAGAGCAGATGAAAATGTTTCCGCTTGTCAACGAAATCTAAAGTTTTATCATTTTTATTTCGTGTAATTTTATTTATTTATTTTTTATTTTATTTGTTTCAATATCTGGAACGTCCTCTTTTTCTTACAGTCTGGATGACTTCATTAACTTGAATTATAACAAGTGTCGTGCTGATTTGTATTTTTAGGCATTTACGTCACAGGACAATCTGTAAATGTAGATGGCGTGACAGCTGAAGTTTACGCATCCGTTGGAAACCTTTGTTGTTGAAAAATAATTCCACAAAAAAGTTGATGGGTTTTCAATTTTATTTAAGCATGACTTTATGTTTTTCATTTTTCAATGAAGTGGAATAACATGTTTATACAGAAGATTTGAATTTAGATTGGGAAGTATACCATATTGCCTCATAAATTCTCTTAACCAGTATAAAGAGTGACGTACCGTGAAACCAGAAACGATACCATATCGGCTCCATTTTTTTGCAAACCATGTCAACTGTTTATAATTGGTTTTTATACATTCAATTTATTCATTGATAACAAAAGATACAATCAAACCTAGTATTATGAGAAAGGCCGTTTCTAGCTCCTAATGTCGATCCATTTCAGAAATTATTCCGTACATCTCTAGTGGTAAACCGCTAAAGCTCATTTTTTTTTTAAATATTTCAACTTTTTTTTCATGATTTCAAACATGTTTCTATTTTTATGCCTAGTCTTCAGCTCATTGGAAATTATTAAAAAATCGCTATCGAATTGCAACTTTTATTTATTGCACTGTGATTGACTATATTTTTTAGTTGAGGACAACCACTCAGAATATTTACCACTAAGAATTAGACAACAGAATAAAAATAATTGGAGAAAATCTGCATGTGGTGATGAATTTCTTTCATTATTTTGTAATTGGATATACCATGCTAATTACATTGCGAAAACTGAATAAAAATTAGTAAAATTTATATCCTGCAATATTTATACACAACTCTGTGGTAAAACGTGCGCAGATGTGATTACACAAGATTTGGGTTTCCATTCACGCGAAGAAATGTGTCCTCCGATAACCTATAGTTTAATTATTTAAACCAATTTGACTTGAAATGTTTGATGATGGAAAAAGATGCCATTGTCGGTATTCATTTCCTAGCTTAACCTCATCGCAAAACCAGTTTGCAACATTCACATCTTAATGAGATCATCATAACGAAATCGCATTGTCTGATTTTTTAATTTGGAGTTTTTCAAATTTTGGTATTTTGTGGAGTAACGTATTTCATAAGTAAAACAGCTTTTAAACAAAATTTCGAGATACAATTGTAATGTGAACTATCAAACCAATTATACTAATTTTGCACCCATGATTTTGTCTAATCATCCATAAAGTGTCTGTCACAAAATACATGCTGAGGCAACTAAAAACATCCCACATTTGAAATTCTTCATGAATGAATTAATTAATGAAATATACTGAAATTTCTGCCCCACCCGTGTATGCGACTAGCCTCATGCCATTGAAAAAACGCAAACATAATGAAATTAATCGAACGTATATTTTCCAATGTGTTATCTAATTTCGACTGAAACGAGAAATATACTTTTGTATATACGAGGTGTGGCTAAAAAGAAACGAGACTGACGTCACAGATTGCGCAACACGATTAACCATTGGTAATCAACACTTTTACAGTGTGGTGTAATATGTGTTCTTTGTTCAACAGCTTTTTTGACACAATATCGCAATTATTTTTGCTCTTTAGGAGTCGTAGGTGAATGTGATTAATTGCTTGTTGAAAAAAAAATTGCCGTGCGAGATCTGATTGAGTTTTTTGGCGATAGGGGGTTCAATTGCAGAATGACGATTGGGCAAAGAGTTAACATTAAATTTTGTGTCAAACTTGGAAAAATGCATGTCAACTGGGCAACATTTAATCGTTGAGCTTTCTGCTCCTCAGTCAACAGCCTTGGCACCATTTTGGCACTCACCTTTCACAAGCCAAAAGTGTCAACCAAACTGGTGCGAACCGTTTTTTTTGTCTTTTCCAACTTCGCAATGACGCGAATTGTTGAGCGACGGTCGCTGCGAATCAACTGCCTTTCACAACTGAACTCACAACTGATACCTTTTCGATGTTGGTATCAGTTGTGGAAGTGCAAGGCCTTCCTGACTTCGAATCATCCTCCACATCCTCCCTGCATCCCACAAATCGCTTGTGCCATTCAAAAACTCTTGTTCTGGACATGGAAGAATCTCCATAAACATCACACAATTTCTTCAAAGTCGCAGTCGCCGTTTTTCAAAGTTTGATACAAAATTTAATGTTAATTCATTGCTCAATCGTCATTCTGCAATTGAACCCCCTATCGCCAAAAAACTCAATCAGATCTCGCACGGCAATTTTTTTTTCAACAAGCAATTAATCACATTCACCTATGGCTCCTGAAGAGCAAAAATAATTGCGATATTGTGTCAAAAAAGCTGTTGAACAAAGAACACATATTACACCACACTGTAAAAGTGTTGATTACCAATGGTTAATCGTGTTGCGCAATCTGTGACGTCAGTCTCGTTTCTTTTTAGCCACACCTCGTATATATATATATATATATGAATATATTCAATTTGTATTGAATCTTTAGAAAGAGTGTTATTCTTTCTTCCGTAATCGTGTGAAGCATTCATGTTGCTGATATCGGAAACAATTTTACTTCCAGGACTGATCCTTGGGGAAAATTTGACACATCTCGAACAGCAATTTGCTATTTCACAGAGATGACTTACATATTCTGACAATTTGACAGTGGCGCGCGTGGTCATTTTGACAACCGGGGCAAGCTACTGCGGGACCAAGTCACCCCCATCTACGGGGACAGGATGAGCGCTGTAAGTTCTCCCATCATTTTATGAGTATAAAAACCATTCCATCGGTAACAACCAATCGGCAAAAGCGACAATTTTTAACGATAAGAAAGTGTCTTTATAACCGGTCCAAGTCAAGGGATTAATAAATATAGACATAGTTTATTTTGAAACCTCTTTCAAAAGGAAAGGCAATATTTACCCAGATAAATACAATGACAACAGAAACTTCGGGAAAGCAGACAAAACCTAAAATGAGGTTTAAAACTACTATGAAGAAAGGAAAGTTAATGCAAAGATAAGGACATGCGTCGCTCACTCATAGATATATATGC